CTGCCACCCCCCAGGAGCAGGAGGGGGAAGCTTGCCCTGCCATCATTTACAGCCCCTCCACCAGCACCCTGTGCTGCAGCCACCTCCAAGGAGCAGGGCTTGGGGGAGGAGCAAGGCCAGCAACATTGACCTCACCTTCCAACTCCATTCCCTCCATCCCTGCTATTATGGCAGTGCTCTGTCACACCACTGCCACCATCTCCTATCCATAATGCTTTTGGAGCACTCTGGTTGGTTGTTTCAGTAATCAGAGTGCTGTAAGAGTCTTATGGGTAGACAGACAGATGGACTAAGTCCTTTATTATATTAGAATGGAATTGACAAGATAAGGACAAGTACTTAAACCTGGCCTCTTAGCTAGAGTTTGGCTAAAACCTCCTGGGGATAAGGTTCTTTGATCCATCAGCAACCAGGCTCAGTTTGAGCTGCAGTCTTAGATTTAAGATGCAGGGTAAGATCAGGTTGTTGTTCTAATATGCCTTTTGTTTGTTAATTCATATATATCTGCCTGTATCTCATCATATTGGTACTGATTTCTGATGCTTGTTCTTGGGGTTTTTAATGAATATTTTTGTTGTATTACATACAGCATTTATTTCAGTGATAACTGTGACTCTTTTTCTAACCAGACAAGGAGGTGGTTCTTCTAGCTGGCAAAATTCCTCCTGCTGAAAGCTGGCCAGAGGTAAGGCAGGTAAAGCTGAGGTGCCAGAGGTGCCTTTGGAGTATTTCAGTCTGTTTTCTGTAATTGACCAGCAGACAGCAGAGAGAGGTTTGGAGCAGATGGGCACTCCAGAAGTTATAGGAACACTCCTGGAGTTTTGTCTCAAAGATACTCCTGGCCAAATCTGGGAATGGAGATTGTCATAATAGTATAATCCCCATGAAACTAGAATGGCAAAAAAAGAAAACTGAATTAAGAATAAATGAAACTCAAGAGTAACTAGACCACCAGCTCACAGCATCTTGCTTGGTGCTAATATAGGGAATGGAACTAACTTTTCACTGGATTTGATTTGTGTGAATTAGTTATATGATCTTCACATAACACATTAGCAGGTGCACTATGTGTGGCACAAGATGCTCTGGCACCTTAAAATGTATGTGAAAAATCTGTAGATGTTTTACTTGCCACTGTTATTTGTCTACTAGCCCAGTGATTATGTATGAATACATGTTTGGTAGAATAAGATGAACATAAGCAATTACTTTTTATCAGGGATCCTGATTTTCTCTGATTACAAAAAAACAAACAAATTTTCTGATTTAAAAAAGTAACCCAAAATCCACATTTTTCCGTGATAAAATGAAACATCATTAAAACATATATTTTAAAAAGTAACCCAAAATCTAAATATAAAATAAGCCTAAAATATGTATTTTAGTGGTGTTTCATTTTAATCATGGAAAAATATGAATTTTGGGTTACTTCATTAAATCAGTAAATTTGGGATTGTTTTTTATCAGAGAAAACCAGGATCCCTGCTTATTACTGATGAAAAAAAATCATAATTATCAGGTAGCCAAGATAAAACAGTAAGATTTTATAGTCTCTTGTTGGCTACAAAGGACCAACTCATGGTATCATAATAAATTCTAGTTTATTGGATGGGATGCAAAGTTACCAACAAAATCATAAATGCAAACTTTGAGTTATGGGTGGTGCTGGTCACCTTAGCACATGCACACGCACACACATGCACCCACTCATTCAGACCCATGTAGTATAGTGTGTTTTGGCTGCTGTACAGATTGCGAGTGCTGATGTCAGTATATTTACCTATCTGAGGCCCTGGAATCTGCTGTTGATGGTCATCTTCCTTCCAGGAAATGTCTTCTCCAGAAGGGGGTTGCTTGCTGGTCCTTCTGTCTTGGTAGGTCAGGTGCTGGATGAGAGGGCACCACTGAGGGTCACACTTCACTGCCTTTTATTCCTTTGTGGCAGATTTGTGTGATTCCTCCGGCATCATCTTGGCTACCCAATCTAGAGGTCCCTGTCCCACATGGTGCTTGAGTAGCACCTGATAGCTGTTAGTCACAGGAGTCTCTGCCTTCTGGTACCTGAAGTTTTGGGAGTCCACCCTTGACTTATTGACTTAATGGCTGTATTGTCATGGGTTACAGGAATAGTCCATAGGTTGAATGCTCAGTTTCAGGAATCAGTTCTTTAGCTTGATTAGCTTAAAATGGAGTTCCTTTGGCTAGACTATTGTCTACTGATGATCTCCATTCACTCACATTCACTCAACAGATTGTATCACTTTACAATTACAATTTCCACGCAGTTTTAACAATGGTCCCTGGTGTAACTTCATTCTACAGGAAGTACATTCTTTAAAAATTTAAAAGTATAAAATAAAGAATACAAAATGCCATGGTAAAGGTGAGACAGATGAAATATGAACATGCAGTGTGAGAAATATATAAAAATGCAATGTGAGGCAGTGAGGATCAAAGGCTATTGGAGACAGTAAGTGACTTAGGTTAGCTCAGGATGTATTTACAGACTTTGCAGTAGATATTTTAGCTCTTTTGTTTTCTTTAGTGACACTAAGCTTACTTGATATGTAGATGTAGTTTCTAGGTTT